CATACGTCATGGAAGTATTTTTAAAAATTCTATTATTATATTACAAATGTTTAAAATTATATATGTTAAGATAAAAAAAATCTAAAAAGCATTAAACTTTTTAAAGAATAATAGAATTTTTTACATGCACTTATTATTGTTAATTGTTAAAGAAAAAATATAAATATTTTGATCCATATTAGGGTTAAAACTGTTTATTAATTGTTTATTAACAGTTACATAAATAAATCATTCTCTTAAAATCATTAAGGTATATACAAGTATACAATTTCTTAAAAGTATATGATATATTACAAGTTTAATGGTTTGAAAATAAAACATTGTATTTTAGGCAGATTCACAGAAAACTGTTGTTTGGCTATTTTGAATTCCAGAATTCAGAATACTCGTATCTATTTCTTATTTCCTTACCTCTAGGGAAAGAATTTTTGTTTAATCCTAATGCATGCACCTTAGCTCGGCTACGCCAAACTTTAATAGTACAATCATCACTAGTTGTAATTAACATTTCGGGATCACGTGGATTGAAGGCAACTGAATTGACAACATCAGAATGAGGATACTTAGCTAAACATACTCCATAATATCTGTCCCAAAGATAACCATATTTCTCTTCAGCGCCGCTAATAAAAAATTTCAATATGAATATATCAATTATACATATTTGTATATGTTGTTTTAAAATGTGTATTTACAGTACCTGGCTACATATTCGTTACACACATCAAGAAAAATTAAAAGACATTTGTTATATAGATCATATTTTTTATATGCTCTTGACATGCAGCCAACTTGTTTTAAAGTTATTAAATCGATTACATGTATGTCTACTTCTTTAGCTGCTGGTGGATATTGATATAAGTTTGTAATAACATAATCTTGTGGCCATGGTCTTACGTTGACATATAGATATCTGTGTGCAAAATGTGATAATTAGCAACAAAGTAAAATATATTCACAATACAAATAACTGACCTATGATCTGGAGAAAGTCCCATTCCTACTATGTGTCCATTAAAATCAATTACATGATCCACGTTATCAAATTTGTCAGCTATGGCTTCAATGTCCAAAACATTATCATTAGGATTTTGCCTTTGACGTTCTCTTTCTCGTTCCCTTTCTAATTTTCTATCTCGTTTTCTTTCCTTTAACGTATATAAACGTCCTGGATATATGCTCGTAGGAAACTTCACATTTTTCACTCTTTTGAAAGCCACTTGATGTGGAATAAAAGTTTCTGTTCCCGTTGTAAATATAAGATACTTTTCACAATTGTTCGCGATCTCATCTACGTTGGCATCTTCCGTATTTATGGATTCTGTAAACGAAAAATATAAACTGTGAATATTATAATTATTTAATTTAGTTTAAATTTCCCTCACGTTCGTTAGCTTGCCGAGAATTTTCTGTGCGAAAGGATAGTCTATTTTGATAACTATATTTTGGGTTGTACTGTAAGGGACTAATATACTTAAAACAGTCATTGAATTTTTCCCACTTCTTAAATATATGTTCTTCTGATGTAGCTTTTAAGTTCCATGACCTATTTGCACATACTTCGGTTAATGCGAAGGACATTTGCACATTTATCTGTACACCCTGTGTAAATTTTTCTTACCCTGATTTAAATGATACATCCAGAGGAACAATTTGATTTGGCAGAGTTTCCTCTATTTCTTCTACATTAGAAGATGAAGACTGAACCTTTTGTATTTCGGATTCATCTTGTTCAGATGTTAAACAATCAGCCAATATAATTGCACGAACTGATGAACCATTGCCATTGCAAAATCTGGTTTAAAAAATTATTCCTTTATCTATATTAATAAATTATATATACAGCAAAGAAAAATGTTTACAGCGTCAAACAAACCTAAAAAGTTGAGTTATAATAGGTATATCTTCACTAGATGATTCTTGGTTTGCCTTATTGAGCCAAATGACACTAGCACTAACAGTGTGTGTTAACCAATGCAAACTTCCACTTAGAAGATAATGTTCGCTATACCATGTACCAAACATGTCATGAGGATTATTTGCTACTCTACATTGCAGATCAAAATCAGCTACAATAAGTATAATTGAATACTTATTTACTATATGTCTTTTAACATTATTTGTTAAATATTTTAGTATACATTGATATTCTTACGTGTTAAACTAAATATTGCTATTTCACCCGAAGTGGCATAAGGAGTTCCAAAATATGCACCAGAAACCAGCAATAAAGTATCAGAGGAATTAAACTGTGAAAATTGTGTATATTGCCATCTAAATGTTTTCATATCATAAAAATACTTTATTGTAACAGGATATTGACTTTCCCAGACCTAAATGAAGTTCTATAATTGGTTTCATATTTATAAATATAAACACACATTATAAGAATATTATATTGTTCAGATCATAGACTGAAGTGACTCACAAAAATATATCCATCTTTTGAACATGTAGCAAACATTTTCCCATTATGTGAAAAGCTTACGTGTAATACTTCATTAGAGTGCTGTGTAAGTTCATCTGTTTTTATAAGTGGTATATGATATGTCAATCGTTTAAATTCTTGTAGCCAAGATGTTTTCCCTACAAAATGAAATCACTTATTATATTCTCCTGTACAAAGTATAAAAAAATTATAGAACAAAATATCAAATTTTAGTACATTAAGTTGGTACCTATAAATCTTATTTCTCATACATATTTAAAGGTGTTCATACAAAACTACAAACACAACTAATGGAAGACAGAAATAAATAAAATTGTTTATACAAGTAGCAGGAAAAAATAACTCTTTATATGTACCAACATAACTAAGGCAACCAAATCATGATATCTTTGTTGTTATTTATATGATGAAGTTAACCTGGCATCATGCCAACATTCGAATCTATTTCATATTTTTGATAGAATAGATTTTTCCAAAGAAATTCGTCGTAGGACACTCTGTGCCAAGATTTGCATACTTCTCCGGCGGTTATTAATTCCCTCGGTGTTAAAAATTGAAAAATATTTAAAAGAATAGAATCTGGCATGTAACACCATTTCTCATCTTCAAGTATCTCTAACAAACAATCACTTTCATTATCTGATGCAACTATTTCTTCTTCACCGTTCCTGTGATTTTCCGCTTCATTTTCAACGGTACTCATAGTGAAACGAGATTCTTTGTTTACTAGAACAGCTGATTTTAATCAATAATTATCGATCGAGATCGACAACACTTGTACGCAGGTGCCAAACATATTTGCGACTATCTGTTATTCTTGTACTTGCCTCTCCGGGCATCTCTCGGATTGTCTGGGCATCGCAATGCTGCCATGAGCAACGGTGGTTGTTATGTGTACTACCACAGACTTGAGATACGCAGTAGCACAGACTTAACGGATAAGTTGATACACTTTTAGGTATGATTTTGTTAGTTATCGTCCTTTATCGCCTGACGGAAATTATGTTAACACAAGTATCTTTCTTCCACTCTGTGAACGAATTCCTGTGGTTGCCTTTACTTGTGAGAAGGCTTGCTGAACAGCTCTGCGCTATATGATCTATAATACAATTAAAGAATAATAAATAAAATGGATTCATTTGGAAATATTTTATATAGCAATTCAGATCTACTGTTATTTGTATATGCAATGCTCGTGTGAAATCTGTAAAAATAAAAGATTTCTAAGTATGTTATTTGAGATAGGGTGCAACCGTTTCCTGAATAATTCCTTTTATTCAATTGTCTCACAACCTTGTATTTTATAAGAGAAAACTTTGTCTGAATATTCTAAAACCGATTGGCATTCAGAGACGCATTGGTTATGACGCTTAGTTCGTGAAATAATATTTCAATAATGGTGGAAAACATAAATATAATAATTGAAGAAGACTTTATGGCGATTATTTGGAAAAGGGGCCTCCTTGTTGATTTCAATGACCTCATATATTATAGGAAATGTGATTCTGAACAATATATTTCAAAGTCATAAAAATCAGCGAGAAATCCCTTTTTCTAGATAATTGACAACTATATTTTTATAAGAAATGTTCAATGTTTAATCGAGCACGAAAATAAATACTGATATTTTATTGAAAAGTTTTATTTAGAAAGAAAATTGTGTAAAGATAATTATAAATTGAATAGAAGTAATTTGCTGGGAAAGTTGTATTATGAAAGGCATATAAAACACTACTTAGTAATTAATATAAAATTGCGTTTATCGCTTACACCGACTTCACATACATTCGCTGTACACCATACATAGTACTCACATAATGTATACACAATCATATCTGTAATTGAATATAGGGAAGGTATGCATGTCAGTGCTACTATGTTAAGAATTACTTGCTTGAGGAATCAATTGATTTTCCATTTGCATGTAAAATTGTTCTCCAAACCATTCTCTATGCATTTCTAGGTAACTGTAATAATAAAAACATAGTAATTGCTTTTAGAATATAAAAAGAAAAAATATTTAAAATACACATGAATCTAAATTACCTGAGAAACATATCTAAAAATTTCAGGAGAACTTTTAATTTTTTATTTGGTATATCTGCCGATTGAAGTAAGTCTGGTAATTTAACTGAAAGTACAAAAATTCGTTAAATGAATTTATTTAGTAAACTTTTCCGAGGATAAATATGTAATAAAATTACACACCAAATAGTCGAGTTAAATGAATGGCACCATAATAGGTAGAAGGATTTGGCGGACCTGCTGTCTTTGATGATTCAGGCATTAATCTCCATTTATTTGCTTGCTGAAGCAAAGCATTGACTTGTGCAGATGTAACAACCGGTATTCTTAACGTTACACCGCGTGGGCTAGAACAACGAGAACTTGTACTTGCAATACTACGAAAAAAAAAGAAATCATCAATTCTGTAAACTACAAAATGATAAGTAAAATATATTGATTTCTTAACCCCTTTATTATGTTGAGATATATGTTTACCTTGATAAAGTCCCTGTATCTGGTTTAATTTCTTCATAAGATCTCAGTTGCCTATTCTCATCAATAGAGCTCACTCTACACGATCTAAGTCTTCGTTTGGAACCTGCCACAGTTTTTGATGCATTGTCGATTTCTGAATCATGTTCTTGAAATGGTGGTAAATGAGCGTATTCAGTATCTTCATATTCTTCTTTAACTAATATTTCGGAACTCCTTGAAATTACAATGATTACATACTTTTATAAAAGAGTGGAATTTGAAATAAATGAAGGTATCCAGAAATTTTAATCTTACTCAATTGGTTCTTCCTTTACAAGCGTTGGATGTTCACTATACAAAAAAGATGATTTCAAATTACAGTACTGTTCTCGTTCTTGCCTATATAGTAGAAGATCGTGTAACGTAAAATCAAAGTATATACGCAATCCATCTGCAACTTCTCTACATATGTTTATTTCATTGATCGTTTTCTCTATTGTATTATTCGTTTTGTTTCTCTGAGGTTTTTCTGGAATGTTTGTTAATTGTGTTGTTGTGAAATGTTGTACCCATGATTCCAACATGTTTACAACAGTAGGTTGAGCTGGTAGAACAGCTAGCTAAAATACACATACCATTTATATTTAGAAATATTAGATTATATAAAGTAAAAATTTTTACAAAATAATTACCTTCTTTTTGTTAGTTATTAAATCATAGTCTTGGTCTAGAATTCTTCTTAACATGGTACCTATATCAAGATCAATTCCTGGTTTTACACTGGCTCCAGACTGACTGCCACCTCCGCTATCTTCATCATCACTGGTTTCTCCAACATAGTCAGAACTACTTTCTGTATCCTCTTCAGTTATTACTTCCTTTAGTAATAAAAATATTTTTTTCTTAATTCCGTATATTGTAATGGTTTATAAGTAATCAATTATTATTAATTAATTAACTGACTTCTGTGTCATAATCAGCATGTTGCCCTGAACTACCATCTTCTGATGATCCAGTTGTTGCAGATGTTGCTCGACTACCACCACTTCTTGCTCTTCTTCGTGGTTCTTGATTTTCAGTTTCATTTAAGCGATCAGATAATTTATGGCTTCTTTTCTTACGCTCTCGTCGATATAAATAAGCTCCCCTGTTTAGACGTTGGAATAAGAAGAAATAATTATAGTTAGTATATAGTGACATAAAGCTAATGTAGTTTGAATAAAGTTGCTTTAGGGACATACAATTGTAATTGCGCTTTCTGGGCTAAATCCCGTTGTAATTGACGATTTTCTTCTGTATCTTTTAACACATACTCCTCTGTTACACATCGGTCCCATGATGAATTCCATCCCTTGTATACAAATATTTTTAATTATCTAATTTAATGATTTATAGATCAAATAAAAAATTAATTGATTATCCAATATTTACCTGGAAATGTATCAAGTATTCAACGGCTTTTCTTCCTCTTTGGTCTTTATTAACTATAACATCAAGCACCTGTAAAAAAAATGTAATGCAAAAATATATATACATATACACTGACAAATATTGAAACTGTTAATACAATCTACAAAGAACTAATTTATTGATTGAACTGATCAATGATAGGAATTTAAAACTGAATTAATTTAGTTCTTATTACATACCTTCGAATCATAGAGTACTTTTGCTTTTGTAGGATCAGGTTCATAACAAAGAACTTTTTCACCATCACAGAATTTAAATTTTGGTCCTCGAGTGGAGACCATTCCTTCTTATTAAATGACAGAATGGAATATCCACTTAATTTCACAAATAACAGTTTAGAATTGTAAATAATCTACAAATATTGTTTAAACAGACATTATAACCTAGTGTATCAATATTTGAATCAAAAAACATTGACGCCTACACAGAAGGTTGTAACATTAATTGTACAACTTTCTTTATTTAAATTATTAAACGATTTGGATTGCTGAATATATTTAAGTCACAATTAATGTGCTGTCAATAATGTATACACACAAATTTAAGTCTCCCGGTATTAAATTTGCTTACAAGATTACGTTGGTTAGTTTGTATACAACTAACCTAACTTGAGTTCAAAAAGTGCGGCGCATTATTTGAAGGAATCTGAAGTTTACAATGTGCTAATAATAATGAAATTGGAGTAGATTCCACAGAAGCACTTCACGCATATTCGTATAAAGTAACTAAATATGTCTTACTTATAGTATTATTTCTCTCAATATAAAATATTAATATCGTTTAATACTATAAAATTAAATTTACGTATATGAATCCTTATACGATTTCCATAATATTTTACAAAATGATTAATATTACAAAGTCACTTAAAGTATTTTAACTGTATCACTAATTAAAAGCTACTATTAATTTTCAATGAAATTGAATTCTTATAATATAACCATCATATACTTTTTAATTATTCATTACATACTATTTTATTTAGAATTGTTAAATCTCTCCATAAATCTGTTATTAACCAACAAAAAGAACATACAACATTTTCATATAACTTGCATAATAGATGAATCATATTTTAAGTTTTACTCTACATTTCCAATTGAACCAGTTACAGATACCTGTAAAACATCGTTACCGACTGAAGTTCACAGAACGACTTGTGGACATTTCCATTGGAGTGAGCTGCGTATGGTCAACAAGGAGGGGTTGGATCGAGCGCTTCATACTCACCAGGTTTCATAGATCCATTTGTAATACTGTAAGTTACTGTTGCACAGAGTGGTTTGTTTCGAAACGGGTTCGGTGTTATTTTCGTTATCCGACATATTCATGCGTCCTGTTTCGGTGAAAGTAAGGAATTCAAATATTTTTGTTCCTAAGTGTTTCAAGGACGTGAGTGTTCCTGTTAGCAGCGTGCACGGAGTAAACAAGACCCGCAAATAATCGAACGCATAGATCAGTCTGTCAAGAAAGGTATATCATGTATGCCACATACAAATAATATTTCAACATGTGCATGAAAAACCGCTAACAAAATAAACCGAGAAAAAAACACACCTAACACTGTTATTTACACACAACGCTGGTAAATGCGCAACGAACGCGCTAACAGTATTTTAACTACACACGTAGAATGCTAAACGATTTTTTCCCGCTACTTCGTGGCAACGTACGGAAACAAAAGTTGCAGGTTAAAAAATTAATTTACAATCTGTCGTGTGCGAAAATAAATTTCCAACGATGTAACGATTCAACGGTGTTCACGAGAAAACAAGTTCGAACGCACTAACTGCGTTACGATATTCCAGTGTCACCGATCATTTCTGAAACGACGTTTCCAAGAGGAAATTCGAATTTCTCGCGTGCCTTCTTTTCGAAATCGATTTTACGTGTTGTTATACGCTTTTTTCCTTCGTGCATCGCGTTTTACGCGTTTCGGTATGTGCTGTTGATTCTGGAGGTTCAGTGACGATAACAGTGTGTCATACAATCGAATTCACCGCCCACAACGGTAAATACGTGTACGGGCAACACACACGCAACGGCACTCGGAGATTCGTTTCGTCTTGTACGTTGCTCTCTCGCTTGTAGTGCATAGGACAGAAAGCATGTCATTCGCTATTTTCAGGCGGGATGACTTCACACCATAACATTAAGTAATTCCTACGGTATGTTACTAGAATATGACATAATTACGTTGAGTAATCTTGATCCAGGAAGAAATCTGTTCATCTTCCGGTTTTATCCGAAGATGAGACACACTTGTACGCATTTTTCGCGTATACAATCGATCCGGCGGGCATTTTCTGCGTTCTTCCGTTGCGTTCGAACTTTCTTTATTCGTTTGTTTGTTGTGGAATGTCTTTTTTTAGATCTGCGAGTGGAATTGTTTCGCCGTGACAAAAATAGAAAGTCATTCATTGAAATTATTTGTTTTGGTGATGTAATGCCTTGCGCCTGGAATTACACCACTTTGTTTTCACCGATACCTTTATTCCAGATACTTCCATATTTACGTCGGGAATGCTTAAATGAGATAAGAGCATTAATCCTTTGCGGATTGCCGCAGCTTGTATGTGTTCTGTATAAATTATCAATCTTCGACGAAAATAACTGATGGAACGGAAAGATATATATATATATATATATATATATATATATATATAATTAGAAAATTAGAATCACGTGGGAAATGATTATTGTTAACAGATATTATAGGGAGCACTACACTTTCGATATTTTATAGATTTTTTCGTTTTCTGTGAATTCTGTGCAATTTCGGTTGAAAATTTTCATCACGAGCCTGACTCGATATTATAGAAGGGATTAAGTTGAAATTTCAGAAGGTGCCTTTTGACACGTTCGGTAGAAACAGCGTTAAGTTCATTTTTCAAGCAAATCAAGTTAACACGTTGAATGCCATGGGGTCACCGGTGACCCCAAACCAAATCGAATTAATATAGTTCGCTCAATTAAACGACGATTATTTAGAAACATTTCTATATTACAAATAATTCAACCTAATGCGATGACATTTAGCTCGATGAATATGCAACAATAATGCAATTCAATCAGATGATTTAATATTAAATTCTTTCCGTTTTGTGTACTTTGCTCTATGAAATCGTGCGTCAATCAACGTGTTAATCATTATAATACTTACAATTCTATATAACCTTTTTATTCTTTAATAGTTTTTTAATCTTTTTTAAGTGGACTTTAAAATTTAAGTCACTTTCAAAATAAACGGTTTATACGCATCCGGCCAGAACAACTGGTAGGCATCAACTAAATATTTTGTATACTCTATGGAGAATCTGTGCGTGCACAAATGTCCAGAATTTGACATTTGGAGTGCTATGAACGATACTAGTGCGTAGGTAAAAGTGCGTGCTGGTAATTTCAAACGAACATCGCAATAGTGGTTCAGCCCTACGTTGTGTTCGGTTTCGAATCGTTTCGTTCGCAAAGGGTTGGTTATATGAAGCTTAAGACATGTTTTATAGCTAACATTAATATAAATGATATAGAAATTAAAATAATTCTATTTTAAGGTTTCATGGATAATTACGTAAAATGAGTTTTAACCCTTTGCACTAAAAAAATTTGCCACTAGAAATATTCAATTTATTTTTATGAGATATAGATGACATTTTTTTAAACTAATCTATTCACAAAATAAGGGGACAATGGTATTTTATTTCCATATTTCACGTATCGACAGATTACTCAAGACTTAATGTTAAATACCAAATTTTACAATTTTTATGCACCAATCGAGTGGTGACTGAGAGGCACCTTTGGAGTGCAAAGGGTTAATCGACTGTTACCGGGGAGCAAGAAATTTAACTAACAAAAAATTACGAATTTATCGATCGAGTTTACGACCGATGTACAGCTAGATTGGTCCGTTATTTGTCCTAGAATTTATTTAAATATATTTTTCGTAAGATGGTTGGAGTTTCCGAGGCAACAAAGTATTTTATTCGACTCAATTATGATCTTTTTTATTTTCTTTTGTAATTTGTTATTTAGTAATTATCACACAAGGATTAATTCGATTTGAGTACTTCGAAACGAAAATTAATTTGCGCAGTTGTGTAACGGAAAATGGATAATAAAATAATCTGTGTCGAAAGAAAACAGAAACAGTCGTCCATTTTACCATAAAATGTTTTTTTAACACTAGAACCACCGAGAATTTAATACGATTCATATGTAATCTCTATAAAAATTGTAATAATAGATTACCTTCAGTTTTTTCAGATATTCATTATAGTATTCAAGTGAAATTATTTATTTTCAAGATCATTTCGAATATTCGATGCTCTTAACACTAAAACTACGGAACATTTAATACGGTTAATATGTAATCCCTTTAAAAGTTTGAACAACAGATTATTTTCAGTTTTTTTCGGGTACTCGTTATAGTAATCAAGTGAAACTATTTATTTTCACGATCATTTCGAATATTCAACACTGTCAAGATATTAATAACTGCAAAAAAATGGAAACTTGCTCTACGAAGTCAACCTGTTAATTAGTAATAATGGTTCTGTCTTAAGCCATTTCTTTTTTTATTTGTCATTCAGTTAAGTTTCTGTGAAACATATGTGGTTTCATTAAAATCAATGAAACTTCAGTGCATCCTCGCACACAGTTTCTACAAATATTATGTGACATTTTTAGAGTAACCAAATATGATGGACCAAGGATTTCCAAACCAACACACCACCACAACGACGGTGACGACAACGGCCACCACCACACAGCCTACTATTCGATTTGACCCATCCTATATAAGAACGATGCATGGCATGCTTAAGGTTGCTCAAGTGGTGAGTTCGTTAGAATCGATATTTCGCCCTTTTTACCACTGCTTGGTACATATCTAGCTAAATTCGAATCGTGTCACATGACCAACGTTAACACGCTCCGTACCGCGTTGGGCGTACACGACCCACGTTGAACTTTCCGTTCAGATTGCTTGGTATTATCATTGAAAAACGAGGAACTTTTTAAATATTTATTGTAGAGTCAAATATAGGCATCTTAATATCATGTGTACTGATATTAATTAATTTTATCACTGGTGACCCCCAATCGAATCGGATTACTATAATTCACTCAGTTAAACTATGATTATTTGTAAAGATTTCTATATCATAAATAATGCTGCCTAATGCGGTGACATTCAGCTAGATGAACATGCAATAATAATAATGCAATTCAATCAAATGATTTAATATTACATCTTTTCGATTTGTCTATTTTGCTCTATGAAATCGTGCGGCATTCAACGTGTTAAACGAATTTTTCATAAAATTAAATAAAGTTGATTTAATTTTATTTAACCCATTTGTTTTATAGGAAAAAGTGGAATACTGGTCCTCACCACCGTAAATGTCTCAATCGTATCAAAATAAAAATGATTCGGAACGTATAAAAAAGTCAAAATCTATATAGCCACACGGCAATTATTGCACTCATAAAATGTATCTTTTCCTGTTTTTGTGATATACAAATTACACAATGGTGGCGCGCATATATACGCTTATGATGCAAATGTGTTAATTGTAAAAGTGCGGATCATATACACCCCACACGGTGTGAACGGAAAGTCTTAAAAAAAATGGTATTGCACCGAACGTGTTAACGTCTCGCGAGTCGTCGCAGAAAGAACGGCACGCCCAGTGTAGTACACGCTGTTACTAAATTAACCAGCGTGAATACTGATATTTATTATCGTTTAATTATCGTGTCTGATATGCAGAACGCCCGAACAGAAACGGAACGCTGAATTATACAAGGTTGCCATTAAGGATTCTAAACAGAGATGCACATCATTTTAACACGTTGAATGCCATGGGAGTCACCGGTGACCTCCAACCAAATCAAATTGTTACAATTAATTCAATTAAAATGTTGACTGCCGCGCATTTTCATCGAGCAAAATGCGCGAAATGGAAAAAGATATAATTAGAATTATTGAATTAAATTATTTTATTGTTATCGCACGTTTATGTTGCTGAATGTCGTTGCATTAGGTAATATTATTAACAATATAGAAACGTTTTCAAATAGTCACCGTTTAATTGAGTAAATAGTAATTCGATTTGGTCACCGGTGACCCCCATGACATTCAACGTGTTAATTGATGATTATTTGAAAACATTTCGATATTATAAATAACGCCACCTAATGCGGTGACATTCAGCCAGATCAACGTGCAATAATAACAATGCAACTCAATCAAATGATTTAATATTAGATTTTTTCCATTTTGGGTATTTTGTGTATTCTGTGCGTTCAATGTGTTAGTAATCATTACTGTTCTGAATAATGTTCATGGTTTCGTATGTACTTTTGAGATAAGACAAATTTGGTCTGATAATTTATATTGTAATTAAATTTGTAGAAAATAAGGAGGATAAGTATATATTACATATAATACAATTTTAGGAGAACAATTGAAAATATAATTCAGAACGATTTACATTATTGTAATGTGATTAGCGTTTAATTAAATTGCTGTTTAATTATTAATATATTTTTTAATATGTATTTGTTATTGTCTCGTGCATTTATGTACTTTTTATTTTTTTTTAATATCAACGATATATTCTTGTAGGTTTTGAATCTGCTAGGATTCATATGCATTACCGTGTCGGGTATGAGCAACAATAGCAGGGGAGGATGGTTTAATACAGTATCCATGGGCGGCTTTTGGTTCACGGGAATATTGCTCGTGTTCTATCTGTTTCATATCATCGAAAAGTTTTCTAAAATTCCTTGGTTGAAAGTTGTGAGTTGAAAAAATAATTTTCCCTTTTTCTTCTGTTTTTTCTTTCTTTCTAGAATTGAACTAACGATGCAAATACATTTTTGAAAGCGTTGGAATAAAAGAATTACTTTTAGTTATGAACAAAGTATCAACTTTGAAGTGAAAATGTTGAAAAGTTAAACAGATTTATGGGTATTCGGTCGTGCGATACTCTACATGATAAATCTTATCTGTAATAATATCGTTTTCGTGACTGTACTTTGCGCTAAGCTTTCTTGACATGTCATGTACGAATGGGAACATTGATCTCGCTATTTGCAGGAATTTATATTTTGCTCGGTCTGGACGGCACTTTATTTATTGGCCGCTGCCCTCGCAGCAGACTACGCTAGGTACTCTGAAGTTTTTGGAGTTGCAGCGGTGAGTATTGTGTGAGGAAAATTGCCTGGGAAACGGTAATTAATTGTGTTATACAATCATTAAGTATATAATTATATTATATTGTATAATAGTATATAATTACTATCATTATATAATATACTACTATTGTATAATATAATTATATACTTAATGATAGAATAAGGCAATTAATTAATATAATTGTGTTATATAATAGTATATAATACTATATCATTAAGTATATAATGATAGTAAGTTAATATATAAGATAGTAATATAGTAGTTACGTATACAATTATATACTTAATGATAGTACAGGGTATAATTATATTACATAATAGTATATAATTACTATCATTAAGTATATACTGATAGTAAGTTAATATATAAGATAGTAAAATAGCCCTTACGTATAATCGTATACTTAATGATAGTGTAGTGTATAATTATATTATCTAATAGTATAGAATTATACACTATTGTATCATTATTGCAAATAAAAAAAGTCGAAGTAAATATAACCACAAGGAATGTACAATTAGAATCTAGTATATCCTCGAAGCTTCTAAATGTGTATATAATTATTTAATATTTTTAAATACACTTCTCTTTTTAGTTCTTTGGATTCTGTGCGATGGTGGCTTACGGTTATGACGCCTGGTTAAAATTCCATCTGTCGAGAAGTGGTGCCTTGGCTCAGGGGCAATACACACCTAAGCAAACTTCCACGGTAACGAGTCAAGGTTATCTGTCATAGATTCGCCGTATCTCTCGTGCGTTCCTGATTGTAATACTTCTCGAACGTGGCACACTTCATAAGAACAGAGCACAATGGATTTGTCAGTCTTATTGACTTTGTTATATTTTATTGTAGTACGTACGTAGCATAGTGTACGTACACCTACACATGTATGACATCACACGAGCACGATATTCGATAATCTCGTATTTTTGTACTATAAGAAGACGTTATACAGATATTCTAACATACGCATATTCTTTCATCTATACATATGTTAATGGAATCGTATGATAATTGTATATTGTCTAATGAGTCTCTAACGTTTGTTAATATTGAAATAATATTTTTGGACAAGTGGTATATATATATATATATGTATGTATGTATATGTATACATATATACATATATATTTGTATAGATATATAAGGATCGTTTAATCAGTATTGTGTTCATACCAGAAGACAGCCAACTTATTTTTACTCACTTCGTATTTAATTTTGTATAATGGCAATTTAATTGCCTCGTGTCGCATCGATCATTGTTAGCGATATCTTGGTAGACAATTGTCTGAACTTATTTATGAATTCTGCACATTGAACGGGGGAAAAGACAATGGTAGAACATGTAAGGCAATAAGGAGATTATAGTTGCTCGAACGCGTTTTCTCTATGCTTTAAGTTATTCGAATTCTATCGTTATTACGTGGATCTGTGGAACACCGACATCTAGGACGATTAGGATAATTTGTTATAATTTATCGATTACCATGATATTACGCAGTGTATTACTTATTACGTCTTGTTACTTTTTATTCGATAAACTTCGTACAGGTACCTACAATCATATGTACACGATATAGAAATACATGCTAAATAATCTAAATACGAATTTCGAACAATACAAACACAACGACAATTGTCACAATAAAACTTAAAACATTAAACGCTGTTGCCTTGATTTTCTCTCCAGACTTCATTGTTAAAGAAAATATGAGGCTCGCAAGCTCTTGTCATTATTAACATGAATGATTATTTTACGCAATACGTTTCTCCTTCTAGAAGAAGCTTCGATCTTCTCTTTAATCTTATAGAAATGTTAATATACTTCAACGTTCGGGAAACGAGAATAACATTAGCCCTTTGCACTCCGAACATTTTCGATACCTTAATAGTTGATCTCTATAGAGGAACTTTCAAGAACCTAAAGTTTCGTTTAGGAAAAGGAAAGTTATATTCATGGATTCACGTCTTTTAATTTCATTTGTCAATTTGCTTTATTCAAATAAAAAGGAGAAGAGTTGCGCAATTTGAAATGAATCATATATCTGTGATGCAAATTATGTCTTTATAGCGGAGCCAACGGAGTGCAAAGGATTAAAAATTATTGGATTTTGGCAACGACGGACCTCGAACATCTATGTTACCACTCTCAATTAATAAAAGTATAATTTAACGCTGCTACTAATTTTTGTTGCTATAGCGAGGTCTGCGCGCCTGCTTTTTACCCATATTGGAGAGGTCTATGGTTTTACCATCTGGAAGCACTAGCTTGTTCTCTTGGTAGTCTACAAACCCATTCTCTTCTTCTTCTCGTTGTTCCTCGTCGCATCTGATACCAGTTTCATATGTGTATTCTCGACGAATACCATCCGGATCAATGTAACCATACTTGCCCCTCGTGATGCAGTCGACGCCAATTAGTTCTTCTTTGTACGATCCATCATCATTTTCGAATCCCCAGGTGATCGAACCGTCCGGGTTGTCATTGCGATACCTCCTGATGATCTGTTACAAAACGAATACGTTCAAGGTATTTTTATAAAACGAGCACGATTTACCGGCGTTCAATTATTACTTGTCAGGCAAAGTCTTTCTCGTTGTTACGTAATTTTTACAAGTATCGTGTTCCAGATTTAAGCAGTTAATGGTATACACAGTATCAATAATGACTTCCTGTTACGGCCGAGTGACATAATCTATTACTCATAATCAAGTCTCAATGCGACGCCCGCTGCGTACCGCTTGGCAATCTCCTTTCGAATTTTTCACTTCGATTAATTACATTTATCCTAAAAATTAATACGATTCGAACTTCCTCCGAGTAGATCTATAAATAATTCTCTTATTTCACCGAATCGTTTCACTATAAACTCGAAAAATGAACAAGGAAGTTTCGAAGTGGAGACTACGAAGCCATCCGCCATTTTTACGGCTTACATGGAATCATGTTCCTTCAGTCTTATAGAAAGCTCGGAACTGTAATAGAAGAAAGGAGACTATACTACTGATCTCTGATTATTTCAGTAACTAAGTCACTTGACTGCAACTCGGCGTTTCAAATATGAAAATATAACCTCGCTGAAACGTCGATTATAACTATAAACTCGGAAAATGAATGAAGAAGTTTCGAGGTGGAGACTACGAAGCCATCCGCCATTGTTACGGTATACATCAAATCGAGTTCCTTCAGTCTTACAGAAAGCTTGGAATCCCCAATGTTGGATGAATTATAATAGAAAAAAGAAGATTATACTACTGATCTCTGATTATTTCAGTAACTAAATCATTTGTCTACAACCCAGCGTTCCGAATATGAAAGTTTAATCTCGTCAAAACCTCGACATTCATCTCTAAAGAGTGAATAACACATTTTCGACCATTGATAATTGCCCACTTTCACACATTGACAATGCGAGATTTTTAGTCAAATTAAAATTACAAAATCGAATTTCTTATTTTTTTTTGTCAATTACAAATTTCGGTTTCATTAATGTTTCAAACTGTATCAATATAAAATGTGTTACTCCTTTGCACTCGAGAGGTGACTCTTAGCCGCCATTTGATTTATATAACAAAATTACAAAGTACGATATATAACATTAAGTTCTGTATAACGCATCAATATGTGAAACATCTCTATAAAATAGCTTTGTTCCTTAATTCACGTATATTTTCGCATTGGTTCGTTTCAAACAGTACCGTCCACGTTTCATCGAAAAGTGTCAAATGTTTCCAGTTAAAAGCTTCCGAGTACAACGTATTAAAAACCAGATTGCCAGAATTAGAACGGTTCTATACGTAACTTACCTGCGCAACAGGTTTCTTCCCGCGTCCGTCGTACACCGGCACCGGTTTCACAGATTTCGTGGGTGGTTTAGCGGGCTGTTTGAAGGCTTCCTCTACGGGTTTCCTGGGTTTGTTGGGTTTCGGTGCGGGTCGGTATTGAATGGGTGGCGGTGGCGGTGTCGTTGGTTGAGAGGGTGGTCCCCTGGCAGTTGGTATCGGTATTTGTTGAAGTGGACGATATTGTACTGGCAACGGTTGAGGCGCCAGTCCAGTTCTAGATATAGGACCTCCAAGATTCGACAGACCGCGCGGCACGTTCTCCTCGCTCTCCTGGCTCTCCGATTGCTCGTCGCTCAGCTCAATATCATCGTCTTGATCATGGTTCCGCGCTGAATCTTTGTTTCGCGAATCATCTTCCGGCTCCTCGCTCACTGGCTTGATCTGCGAAGGCAACGTTGGTCCTGGCCCTGACGGGAAACTCGGCCGCAGAGGTTTCGACGGCGTGAACAGTCCTGGTCCAGTTATCGGACTATCTTCCGGGCCTCTCGGTCTGGAATTAGCGAACAGAATCGATGAAAATTCAATTGTTCTTTATTATAGAGCATACTAATCGCGTTGGATAATCACTTGAATGTAATCGGACGTCTGATTCGTTGATTGGCAAGTACAGCCTGCGTTGGTACCGCTGGTCTGGAGGCTGGCAGCCTCTGAAACCGTGCTGATCTTAGAGGAAGCGGCAGCCCCTTTGCTGGCAAACCACCGTCCACATCTTGGTTGAATTGTGCTGAAGCTAAAGCAGTGAAGCTCGCCAACAACTGCAACGAAATGTATTCGTCAATTGATTTTCATCCGATTTCATGGTAACAAGGCACTTAGAGCAATAAACCGTTCAATCGCTCATGAGCTTCCGACCTTATCTAATCCTTTCTCGAAAGATTTACCTCAACTAACTAGAAAATATGCGACAGAGCTTAACATTAGGGTATTTCCCTGGGAAACATCTTCGAAACGCATTTCAATAAATTGTTCCCGGAATTATCCCATATACGATACTTTATAACTTTGCTATATCAGATCAAGAGAGTCACGTCTCAAAGGGTCGCCAAGCATCGAGTTCTCTTATCGAAGCAAATCGGATCACTACGGTAAAAACAGTTGGCGAACCTCTATCATCCGAACAGACTTGTCCCCGACATGTTCAGATATGCGAGGTCCTACGTAGAATTTTTCCCAGATTCCGGTTTCTATAAATTCCTCCGGTGAAGGTCTACGCTCGCGTGAGCGTCCGGCCGTCACGTAAGCTCGCGTCTATGCATAAATAGGAAACCCGCGAACGCGAGCGTCCTTCTACGCACTCCTCTCGTTGTTTGCACTGTTCCAGTTCCTCTTATTCGCATCGCGTTCGGCGTAAATGTCAATTGTTCGGTGTGTTACGTGTACGCCGAGCCAAAGCTGGCAACGCAGGGTATCGGTATCGAATGGCTTTCTCTTTTCTCCAGCATTCGTCGAATTTTACGTGTGCGCACGTAACGCTCGGACGTGTCGGTGGTGCACCGCGGGCCTAATTATGCGTGTACGTGCCCGCTGAAACGCGTAAACCAGAACCTCGAACCGGTACCTGCTTTTAATATAGGAGATACCGGTCCCGGCCCGAGGGAAACCTGTCGCAACGATACATCGAAATCTACGCAGAAACGCGAAACAAGAACAATCGGAATTACATCGGCGTCGATTCGAGGCAGCCGATCGACGGTCGTTTTCGACCTGTTAACGCTAGATTTACGGAACGAGTCAATTTGACTGATATTGAATTTTTATCTTTATTATTATTACACTCGAAATGCAAAGGGTTAACTACCGGGAATGTCCGAAATCCAATTGAGGAAAAATGCTGAAACTGGAAGAACAGTTATAAGCTAAAATGTCAAAAAGTGTTAACCCCTTCCCTATAATTTCTTCGTGAACTCTGATTGATCTAACTACTTCGTTCTTAATAATTTATCGAAAATAAGAGAAAATTCCAGTCTTATTCTACATAAACCGCTCTAAGGTATAATCACTGATAACAAAAGAATAGTACGTAACAGTATCGCCTTCAAACAAATCGAGTAATATTTATGTTTGTTCAATTCTATTTGAAATGTCCACGAGTTTCACGAGTTGCATTATTCTAACGCAAGGGGTTAACAGATTGTAGGCCGACGAAATTCCAGCTATTGGAAACGCGAGGAAGTAAGAATTAAATGTCCTCCAATGCTTCATCGTTCCCGGTGTTACGGTATTTTCCTCGTGAATTACTTTACTTCCAAACTCGTACGGGTCGTAGCTGGCGTAACAGAGGGAGAAAGAAACTGACACGTTTCTTCTTAGCGTAGCGGAATGCAACTGCTGTATTTTGGGCCATGGGCTCATTTTTACAGTGTTTTACAAATGATGGCAAGGCTGGTGGTGACTTAACACACTGCGTACCGACTAATTTTCAGAAAACTGAATTATGCAGATGGCAATTTTCAGTGAGATCAACTTATATCACTATACATACAAAAACTCAGACATCATAACGTTATGTAATATATTTTAAATAGATAATCAATTCGAATCGAATTTAATATTCTTTAAATGCTGTGGTAATTGGCAATTTGCATAGCTAAGTGTCTTTATATAGAAAGGAGGTTTCTCGTTACCAGTACGCAATGTTAAGATTCAATGGGAAGCTGTGTCACACTATGTATGAGTTTAGCGCGTAACATCGGGTGGCGCGGAAAACGGCTGAACGTTTCCCACCCCTCTTTCACGGGCTGTTGCTCCGCTGACGCGCCGATAACGCGCGTGCCTGGCTGTGGCCGTTCGTTCGTTCGTTTAATTTTCTCTTGGATCGTACGATAGAGCTCCGGCGCGACAAGTTGTTACGTTCATGGTAACAACGCGACCGGTATTTCATATTTCTTATATAACGCGTGATCCGCGCGAGAGAACGCTCGTTTCCAGAGGGTTAACCCGTCGACTGCCGCGGTGCTCACCGGTGACCGGCGTTTCCGAATTGCTCGAGTGTTCGCGACGTGTAAGACGACCGATGTCGAATGGAAATCTTTAACTTCGAATTTGCAAACATTCTTTTGCATTGTTTCCTCGATAACTCTGTATTATTAGGATGTTTTATTTGAGATGCATTTGGAAAAATAGTTTGTAGAGAGCAGTGTAAATGATTCTTATTGCTGATAATATTGGAAATAATATAGTAATATAATCGATTTGAAAAATATCTTGGTAAAGAAGCGCAACTATGAATAAAACTGATGTCGACTCACGCTTGACATAGGAGCGCAAAAGGTTAATGTGATTGATATGTACTCCCTATAGAAATTGTAACAATAGATTATTTTCAATTTTTTCGATATTTCTTATTAGAATTCAATGGACCAAACAGAACGTTCTTAATGTTTTAATGATTATCAAGGAAGAAGAGAAACGATCCTGCAATCGTCTTTATGACTCTCATTCGATATTAGGCAAGACGTTAACACATGTGATCGAGCATTGTCGCTGAGCAAAATTGTCTGTCGTCAAAGTTAGATATAAAATATGTCGAAAGATTTCTGTTTTTCATTCAAACAGAACTTAAAGTACTGACCACCCAGAATCCGACGTTTCATATGTTACAATCTAACGCTAATCAATTATCTCAGAAGAGAATACAAGCATTGTCATTGAGCAAAATTGATCCCTTTCGGTTGAACGAAGGAAGATCTGCTCTTAAAGTTAGAACGCTCGACATAGGAGCGCAAAGGGTTGAAAAGGTTGGAAAATTTGATGATTATTACTGTTCCTAAAAGTGTTGAAGGGAACTAAACTAAAATCTCCCAGTAAAACAACGAGAGAATTTAGAAACGAGGAAACTTTCTTCCATTCGCTGCAGTTTGTTAGAAACAGCGATATTCTTTTCTAAGACCGCTAGTAATTTCCTGGCTGCAGGTTTTTAATAACACGAAATGAGTTCCGGCGACCCAAAAATTTCACGTTTCTTCAATTTTGCAAATCTCTGCAAGACCTCGACGGAAACAGCAGTTTTATTCCTTCCCCGCTTCCTGTTTCTCGAGAATGAACGCATCCTACGAAAGGTTTGAAACGTGTAGTTCGAGTAAAAAGTATTCTCGGTGGCCTCCGTTCGGAAAACAGTTTTCTGAATTTTACAGAGCGTAAAAGGAGATAACACGCCCATAAAAATTAGGTATGCAGGAAATAGGAAAGCACGCGTTAGCATTTAATAACCGCTTTCACCTTGAAACGCCGAAAATTAAGGAAAAGCGAATCGCCTGTTGCTCTTATTGTTCTTTTGAAACCTGTAACGTTCGACTAACAGTGAAACTACCGAGTAATTAGAGCGACTTATCTATAATTCACTGCAACAAGGCTATGTTTTTCAACATTTTAAGCAACTATTACAGCTATAACTGCATGGATTTCTTTCGTAATTCTCCATGAAAACATCGTAGCATCGATAACCGTAATATAAAATCTTTAGAATAGATCATTTCGATTAATCCGATAGTCCCAATTTAAAGAAACAAATGAAAATCTGGGAATCACTGCAACTACAGTCAAGAATTCTTATTCCTCATCCTCCAAAAACATGGCACACCTTATATTACAGCAACTCCGAACAAATCCACATCAAGCAATAACATTCACCATATCCCCACAGAAACATAACGCCCATGATCATAAAACAATTCCAAAACACACAAGAACAAACTCTAAAACCAGTTCTTTCAATACTAACCACACTTTGTATACACTTAATATTGTAACCAGACAAATAACTGGCTATAAAAGAAACGTAAATAAGTTAGACGATAACCTTTCCTCAGTCTAAACGCAAGCAAATTCAGAGACAAAAAGTGAAAAACTGATTAACCGGAAAATACAACTGCATCAAAATTGTTTCTGTCCCTAATACATTATCAATGATAAAGTACTCGTATCGATCATACTCAACCCCTTGCTCTACGATTTATTTTTCAACAATAATCGATACAAATACCTTGCCAGTGATAATCTATTGAAACAAAGGAAAATTTGTAGGTATATCCTATGCTCATGTTTACTCGAAAGTATAATTATTGATAACAGAAGAATAATCTTTAATTTGAATTCAAAAGAATTGAGTAACATTTATGCTTGTTAAATTCTCTTTAAAATCTTTACCACGAGTCTGGCACGTTGTCATAAGGCAAGGGGCGAAGGTTTGATTACTCGACAGTATAATTATTGATAACAGAAGATTAATGTTACATTTAAATTCCAAAGAGTCGAGTAACATTTATGATTATTAAGTTCTTTTTAATACCTTCACCACGAGTCTGACACGTTGTTATAAGGCAAGGGGTTAAGAAATAAATCACGAACCAAAGCAAACAACTATTTCCCCATTATAAATATATTATCTTCAAATGAAATATTCACTTCAAGTAGAATGTACAATTTCCTTCCATTTCTATATAGTAAACTGTCACGCGAGTTTAACCCTTTGCACTCGGAAGTTTTTCACTAGAAATATTTTCACATTTCCTGACCAGATAAAGACAATATCTTGTGAAACTAACTCGAAGAGAAATCACACGTACATCGAGGAAAACTATTTTATTTCAATATTTCTCAAATCGATACGTTACACGAAGTATGACATTAAATATCAAACTTTATAGTTTTACCGTACGTAATCAAGTAGTGAGTGAGAGTCACCTCAAGTGCAAAGGGTTAATACCGAAACAAGATAGTACGTCAAGGGGTTAACACTTTGATTGCCACGGTGGTC